CCCCCCCCGACCTTGCACCACTAGTCAAGGCTCGCTTGTATTTTATCATCCCCTACAGTTCGATGGGCCTCTGGACGTCCTGTTTTGGGAGCATGATACCCCTACAGTTCGATGGACAAGCTTCGGTTTCCTTAATTTTTTTGTGTGTACGTGTGCAACAGAATCGCATTATCAAAAGATAATAAGGGTTTCTTTCTTCTTATTTCCCCCTTCCTTTTTTGCTTAAGGCAACCTCCGGCTCGGGAATAAGGTGGGTCATTCGTGTGGGTTAGCATGGGGTTTTTCTTGATCTTTCCACTCTCTTGTCCTATTCTTTTTTCTTTTTCTTTTCTAACTTGAGTTCGTGGAAGAAGGGTAAGAAAGCATCTGGAGCCTCCCTACTTAATTATTGAAACGCTTGGATGGCGCAGTCTGGATGGTTGTCTGTGATATCCCCCCCGCGCACACCCACCTATACCGGCTGGCCCTGATGTCTGATTTGGTGGCCTGGTTGATTTCATTTTCCTCTTCACTGTTTCTCGTTGCTGTATTGTACTCATCACGATATTTATCTTACTGTCTTATAAATGTTGTGCTTGCGACTTTGGGAAATGTTTGCCCTGCGCATAGATCTATTCGAGAATAATTACAAGGCGTCTCCCATCGGCTGAATACTTAAATTCTAAGTATCTATATCTATAGACCCGGCCCTCGTTTTTCTGTTGTAAGGATTGGCTGGTCTCTACGTTTGCAACTACGGTGTGCTAGTAACAAGATACTTGAAAAGATTGTTCGAATACCTAAGGGAATATTGGCCAAAATGCTATCCGATAACTACTTTAAGTACGACGGCTCCTGTCTGAGATGCCATATCATCAGCTCCATCCAGTTCTCCTCAAGAGTCCGGTCGGTGCCGACAGATTTAGCTCCTCCAACTAGAACATTATCTGGACTGCAACCAGGCCCTCAACCCTGAGACGAAGCGAAAATCCCCCCTCGAGAAGAGAATAACACAGCATCGTGAAATTCGTCGAGTGTCTGTAGTCGTGTTCACGTTGAAAAAAAAAATAGAAAGCAATGTACCGGAGGCTCGCGCTAAAGGCGTAGGACCTGCCAGGACGCCAGCGTTCGAACGGGGGCTTTGCACGCCAGTTTAGATGTACCACATGCCAAAGGGCAATCTGTTCGAAGTACCGTGCATGGGAAGGAGACGGGGATCAACGGGTCGGTTCTTCGGCTTCGGGTTGGTGAGCTTCACCTCAGGTCCACTCTGAGGTCCAGAACTAGCAGGGACATCTTCGTGGTGACGGGCACGGGTGGCAACCAAATGAGCGTAATAAACAGCCGGGACTATGTCATAGTTAGCATCTTCTGAGGTATTCTCCAGAAAATGAAGAATAGACAGGAAGAAGGGTAGTCAGTCACTTACACAAAGAAACCGATGTAGTGGACCGCATGTACTGATAGCAATGATCGTAGATCATATTTTCAAGCTCCTGAGCCTTGTGTCCGATCTGGTCGAGGATGACATGGTAATGGACAGGACGAGATGTTCCCTGAAGGGCGATGTGCGAATAGAGCAGAAAGTCCCAGTCATGAGGGCTGGTCACATCCCTGGAGATCAAAGTACCGGGCAGAGGGTTGCCATTGCGATCAGCCGAGTTACGGTCACCGGGCTTAGGAAAGGCTCGGAGATGGTGGCGTTTGTTGGCAACAACCACAGTAAATTTGCCCTTCCACTGATCCTGAGTGAGCTGCATGAAAATGGAACGCATGTCGAGAACCTCCTTTTCGAGAACGTGCTGAAATTGGCCGGAGGAGACACCATCCCGGAAGTAATATACGTGGTCTGGAGCACGACCCTGTCCAACGGTGGACATCCATTCACGAACGAGAGGGAGTAGGATGACTTCGATGTTGGAACGGTTGATGATCTCGACACGATCACCATTGGCCTCACAGGCTCCCCAGTATCGACCACCGAAAGTATCCATGCAGACGGTCATGGCAGCCATCGAAGGGGACCAAACTCCCATGTGCGGGTGAGAGACGTCAGCACCGATGATCATGGAATGAGGTCGGAGAGCCGCTTCAGGAACCTTGGGAATAGCGCGAGCCGTGGTGCCTCCCAACTTCGCATTGACCTTCATGAGAACGTTGGAAATGTACTGCGGGTTCGCCTTGGAAACATGAGCAGATTGAAGAACCTGAGAAGGCACACCCCAGCGGCAGTCGCAAGACTTCTTAATCCGAAGATAAGTAAAGGAGTTCTTGTCGGGCACGACGATCAACAGGAGCTGAGGGTCCTTCTGGAACTTGACCCCAGTCGCGTTGTAGAGGGTCTTGATCGCGTCACCAATGTCCTCCTTGAGCTCAACAATCACAGGGCGCTTCGCAACATTGCCACCATGGCCAGCATAACCCTTCATGAAACCGTCGCAGAAAGTTTCAACCTGGGTGCGATTGATAGCATTACGCTTGCCGGGGAAGTAACCGATACCCCAAGACTCCAAGGGCCGCTTGTTGGGCTGCAAGAATTTCTTGCCACGGAGATCCCAACGACCATTGGTACCTGGATTGAGCTTCGCGCCTCCGCCAAACTGGATCTCCGGATTAGGGAGGAGTCGAGCCTTGGTACGAATCATGTTCTGATCAACCTGGAGTCCAAAGGCCTGGAGAACAGGATCGTTCGAGTGATCAAGCATGGCCTTGGACTTTTGAACGGATTGCAGCCGCTCAGCAGGACGAGAAGCCGCATATTTGATCATGTGTGACGTTTGCCATTCGTTGAGCTTCCAGGGATACTTGTGCAGGCCGTGAATAGTCAAAACTTCCATCGGGTAAACGACATTCTTCTTGGTCATCTCAACCATAGGAAGTTCCCAGTAATCCAAAATCACGTTGTACTTCGACTTGAAGTATGCCTCAACGGTCATTGTCTTGGTGGTACCGGTTGCACGGTCCTTGATGTCAATGGTGTAAGTGCGAGCGCTCGCATTGAGCAGGCCCTTGACAATGAAGTTGGTGCCGAGAACGGGGCAGCCACGGTAATGGGGTTGAACCTGTAGCTTGCGCAGGCGCTTGTGGACTTCGTAAAAACCGTTCGACTCAGTAAGTCCACCATGACCATCGGAAATAGGCTTGGTGAGGTGAATCAGATGTTGCAGGTCACGGCAGTCCAAAACGGCCATGGCAGCACCCATGAAAGAAGTGCGAGCCCAAAAGCAGGTATTCGACACATCGATGTTAACCACAAGTCGGCCAGGCTAATGATGCACATGTCAGCTCATGGAACCACAAATCGGGAGGGGACTTGACAAGAAACTCACCAGAGCCGACCGAATCGCCTGGTAGACACCCTTAAAGGCCAAAACGCCGTTTCCGAGATCCTTGTTGTCACCCTGCTCATCGAAGAAGGAACGCTTGATGGCAAGAAACTTCGTGCTTGGCCATTCGCGAAGGACATGATCAAAGAAATCTAGTGTGGTTAGTGATCCGGAGAGAAATGAGTTCAAAACCCTGAGGACCTACTCAAAGCCTCCAAAACAGGTTCGTTCATGGAAATTTTGCCATTGAGCCAAGCGGTAAGCACAGCCAAGTTGACCTGCTTGGTCTTGCGAACCAAGATCCGGAAAGTGTTGTTGGTTTTGGTGCTGGGAGGACGACCCTGTTCAGCATCCAAATCAACGAGGGCGTTGAATTCCTTTTCGTAATTGTTCATGGACCTGAAACGAGCGATCAGTGGATGCTTTTCTCTCAAGAAACTTGCAAGAAATATGACTTACCAGGCCAACTTATTGCCATCGAAGATGACACTCTTCAGATTGTTCTTGCGAATCTTCGAGTTCCAAACCTTCTGGATCACGGCATTCTTTTCAACGCCATTGCCAATGTGCACCTAAGTAGGGAAGTTGAGCAAAATGTCTTTTTTTTTTCCCAAGCCAAAAGTATGGGTAGAAAAGCAACTTACATCGTACTGGTAGACGATTCTGCTAGGGAACTTGGTAATGGCAAACGCATTGAGAAGCACTTCGATCTCTTTGCCAGTCTGGTTGAAGCCGGGACGAGGGACGGTGGCCACAGGGACAGAGTACTTTGCGATTTCATTGTCAGTACGAACTCTCAGGTGACGGAAGCCGCCAGCGAGCTTGTTGATTTCATCGGCATCTTCCATTGTGACGGTGATGAAATTTGAAAAGTAAAAAGAGATGATTTGATAGTAGGAGGAAAGAGGTGACTGGAAAGTTGGGATAGCAGAAGCTGGGATAGTAGAAGCTGGGATAGTAGAAGCTGGGATAGTAGAAGCTGGGAGAGAGGTTGTTGGGAAGAGAAGAAGAAGAAGGAACAAGGAGAGGGGGAGAGGGGAGGGTTGTATTTATATAGACCTGGGCAGAGAAAGATATTGAATATGAAGGGGACATTGTGAATAGAAAGAATTGAATGGCAGGTGTGGGTGGTGGTCAATGATGGGATGATGTGTGAGACAATACAATATTGAATGCCGGGTCTCTACATCAATTGCAAGCCTGTAGCCGGTGAACCTGAGGCAGGAGGGAATAGCTGATGCTTGGTGGGTATCCATATTGAATGGGAGGAAGTGGGTATATATGAGGGTAAATAAGAAGAGGCTGGGTGTGAATGAATAAAAGGCAGATGAAAAGGCAGGTCTATTGAATTGAGCTGGGAGACAATAAATGTGTTCTCATGAAGTGAATGGACTACAACGAGTCTTGGGGGACGAACAAATGACAAACAAGGCTTCTGCAGGGTCCTGCAGGCCAAAAGCAAGCAGCGACAACTACTAATTTTTTCCCTTTACTTTTCGAGGCTTCAAACGAAGAATAAAACTCACCAGATGATTCAAGTTGAAAGCCGCAAGAGGCAAGTCAACATTTTTACACATATCCGTTAGCAAAGCTGGCTTGTCCAGCGCAGGGTCTCCTTGAGCCCCCAGGCCGGGCTTGCCGGGCACGTTCGCCATAGCGACGAGTGCTTTTCGAGACAAGGCTAGATGTTTATTCGGTTCGAGTTGGAGTCAACTGTTCAGTTAGCTGAGGACACGAGAAAATGAAGCAGGATGAAAGGAAATCAAATCAAGTGAGAGTCGAGCTCAAGCTCAAGGTCTCGAGACAAGCGATCTAATGCTAATAGAGAAAAATAGAAACAGGCATGAGGAGAAACGCAAAGGGCAACACGGCTGAGACTTGGGCCATTTGAGGCTTCGTGATAGCTTGAAGAAGAGCCCCGGGAAGCGAAGCAGAGATAGAGCAATGTGATGGAAGGAAACTCGAGCTCAACTTACCAGAACGCGTTGTGAGAGAAGCTTTCAAGAAACAGGAGAGGTACCCCAAGCTGAAGCGCGACGAAGATGCGTCGCTGAGCTGAGAGGTGGTAGAGGGGAACGATGAGAGATGGGTCAACGTCGAGGAATATGAACGTGGTAAACCTGGAGAACCAAGCAAGCCACCAAGGGAGCAGTTGGGTATGTGGAGGAGGGAAGGAGGAGGGAAGGAGGAGGGAAGGAGGAGGGAAGGAGGAGGGAAGGAGGGAAAGAAGGAGGAAGGAGCTATTTATGGTGGACGGCCGGGATGCTCGATATCCCAAAGGGGAAGGAACGGGGTGAGGTGAGAGATAAAGGAAGGAAGGAAGGAAGAGGGAGGTGAGGCGAAGGTGAGGGGATATATGAACGCGAAGCGAGGACTGACGCGACGGGCGGGCAACAGAAAGGTCAAGGAAGGCAATTTCCAAAATTAAGTGAGCTGGATTTGTGGGATGACGACCTCATCGCCGGGGCGATGTCGTGAGCCGGAAGCAAATGGAAGGTGAGGTGGTGGTGGGCAATGATTATTTCGTCGTGATTGATGCTTACTGGGTTTTCTAGGGAGAAAGCTTCATAAAGAGAGGTATGGCAGGACTGAAAGATCACATAGATAGTGATTGAAAGCACCTGATCTCTGCTTTCATTAGGATCTTCTCTATATTCTTCTTGAACAGAATCTACGGCACCAGGCAAATACATCAAAGATCACCTGGACAGTTACCGATGGACGTTCGAAAACACAAAAAGCGATGCTACCTGGGGATACCTCTCGCAACGCGAGTTCATGTCTGCTCAGTGGCTGTGGCAGTGGTGAGAGACCTTTGGTGTCTACGACATCCCGTTCGGTGATCGATGCTTGTGGCTCCATCCAGCATACTCAGTGGCTGTGGCTCATCGTCAAGACATATAAGAATAAAGACGATGGCAGAGTTCGTCGATTGCCCGAGACAGAACCACGGAATACAGGATTGGCTCAGTGCTGAGGAAACAGATCTTGTTTATAACATTGCTAAGATTCAAATTGAGGAATGACCAGGGCCGAGAACTAGAATGCATTGTAGATAGACTGAAGCTCAAAGAAGCACACGGGTCCGTTCACTGTACAGATGATATACCCTATGCGATATCGCTTGCTGCTAAGTTATCGGGGAAAAAAAAAGATCATGCGCCGAAGAAGTGCAAAATACCCAATCCTGTTCCAATATAAACCTCACGGTACTGTCCACTACTCCGACGATACATTCAAGATCGATTGTGATGTGACTAATCTGTATCATATGCCCTTATGTACCGGTATTCTTCCCCATGTCTCGGTTCTGCCAACGCATTGAAGAGTTTCAGTGGCTTGGGCGGTAGGAGTCTTAAGACAGCCAGTATGTTAGTGAAAGTAAAAAGAAGAGAGTGTGAGATATATGTATTCAGAACACAAGAAATATTATGAAACCGGATTTTTATCTACCTACCTGTGTAAGATTGCATCGTCATGGGCTGGTTATGTCCCATCGCACCAATAGACTGCGGCATCGGAATCTGAGAGATCGACGCTGGCATGTCAATTCTGCGAAGGAGGTCAACCAGCTTCTCTGCAGAAAATCGACCGGCGTTATATGCAGAGGCTGGAGGGATGATGCTGAGAAGATAGACAATGTCTCGGGGTAGCGGGTTGGTTGCGCCTTGAGGTCGAAATTGAGAGCTCAATGACCCACTCCCATTTACCGGGGTAGAGCGCCTCATCTGATCAAGATGCCGCACTGTGGCACCTTTCAAGGGAGATTCGGCTCGAATGAACTTTCGTGGCCTGTTCAGGCCATCATCATAATCATCCAAGGAGAGGGGCCTCTTCGGCGAACTTGTAGAAGGAGCATCAAGATATCTGGGAGGGGTGCCGTGACGCGAATCCGGTCGGTCAGCAGGGGGGGCAACAACAGCAGTTTTCGGCCGAGTTTGCGAAGGAGAGATAATCGGCCGTATGGCAGTGGGATCGAACGTCGAGGTGGCGTAACGATGAGAGAATTGCTCAAGGGTAGGGTCCTGGGGGAAAAGCTCGCGCATCCGGCTCTCAAGGTTGATAACCTGGACAAGGTCTCCATAGCGAGACTCATACTCATGGAGAAACGCGAAAATGGGCTTGGCTTTATGGACGCTTTCAGGCTTGGCAGCCAATTTGCGAACTGTCATCTCGAACACGGCCCTCGCGTCTGAAAGGAGATTGAAAATTAGTTTAAAAATAAAGCTCTCTCGTGTTCGTACCGTAGAACTTACTAGTGATGTCGTTGATGTCAATCAGATGTTTCAGGTACTCAAGTGCGAAGTTCTCGTCTTCTGGGAAAAGCTTTGCACCACGTTCGAATATTTTCGTGGCAGCAGGGTCTTTATAGCAATGATACTCGATGAGAGCGCTCGCAATGTACACATCGCTGGTAATACGGCCTCTCTTCCTAGCATCGGCGAAGACCTGCCTGGACCCGGGCATCTCGCCAGGCTTGCCCTTCCCTTGGATGCGGCGCATGGCGCGCATCAGAGCAATCCACGCAAACGAAATAGTCTTGGAAAGAATAGTGAGTTGGATAGCGTGGGCACTGCGGACCGCTTCAATCTGTGCATTTTTTGCGAACTCCCTTGCCCTCGCTTCACCTGTCTCATCGTCGTCCTCTTCATTCTGCGAAACTTGCTTTTCGGCGTTCAAACTTGCAAAGGTCGCCTCAAGGCGGGTGACGTCTTGCGTTTCGCGGGTACGGGCCTTGGCGACCAAGTCGTAAAGAGCGTCAAGAAGCCTGTCGTAAGGTTCTCTGACCTTGGTCCCTCGCCTGATGGGGTCTGGCTCGGAATCGGATGTGATCTCCAACCGGTCGGCACGTTTGAATGCAAGCAAGCAACTCTCTGGATTTGCGTCGATCCCTTGCTTCAGAAATTCAGTTCCCTCATGTTCCAGTTCATTCTGAAAACAAAATTCAGCCGCTTCGAACCATATCTCTGGTAAGAATCGTAACGCCATCAATGCTTGCTTATACACATAGACAATGCGTGCATTGAAGACAGGACGGTCGTCGTCTTTCAAGACTAGCGGATCACCCTTCTCCCAGGCGATCCAGCGCCTCCAGATGTCGACTTGTTGAGCAAATTCGATATCACCATCGGCGCCAGGGACAGGAGGTAACCGAGGGAGAGATGTACGATTCAGGTCTCGAGTGATGTTTTGCAATTCAGTAAAAGAGCTTCGTGCAGTCATATATGCAGGTGATTGTTCTTGAAGAAATTTTCGGCCCTGGATGGTTTGAAAATTTGATGTCAGAAAGAAAACTCACAGGCGCTAGAATAGCCAATCGGGGAGATGCTTCAGGTCTTTACCGTAAGTTTATTCAAGCCCATTTCAAATTGATCATATTCCTTCCAGAGGGAGTTAACGGCACTGGTCGGAACCGCAATAGCTTTTTGGTAAGCTTTGCGCAGGAGATCCATCTTCTGTTGATCCTGCCAGCCGGAACCGCCCACATTGCCAGGTCCCGATCGAATGAACAGAACGTAGTCTGTCCATATGGGCCCCGAGTCTTTGTCTACGCCAATGTGTTGGAAGGCTAAGTCGTAGGCAGAGGAGATGATCGTCCGAGCTTGCCCAGTTGTGTCTGTTGTCAACGGGTTTCGCCGACGGACGTAGTCGAGATAAACCGACCACAGCTGGACGCTCGGTATGGTGAGGAGCGTCTTGTTGAATATCTGCTCTAAGCGGAACAGCTCGTTGTTTTCGGACTCCATACTCGCATACGCCACCCATTGTTCGGCCTGCAAGAGCACGTGAGCATCATGTTGAAGTTTCCGGGCGCATGGTTCAATCAACTTACAGAAAAAGGAAACACTTGGAGGAATCTCTCGTAAACTTCGCGCGCGTTATCCAGTCTGTTGCGGCTTCTGTGTTCTCCAATCAACTCCAGCCAGGCAGGGATGTCCCCTCGCGGATCTTCCTGGATCCTGTCTTCCAGAATGCCGACTCGGTCGTGGGGTAATCGGCCTGGCCCACTCGAATGCTCAACTGATGTGGAAGGGGGTGGAGCGGGGATGTCAGATGCAAAACCAGACTGGACAGTCTGAGAGGTGTACAGAGCTTGAGCGGAAGGAACAGAAGAAGCATCATTTTTAGAAGAGACAGCAGCATGAGGAGAGTATGAGTTATTGGAGTGATGGACAGAACTGGCAGGGCCCTGCACAGCTCCATAGTCAGATACATCAGGGACAGAAGTAGCTTGATTTGCATTTCCTGAAACGGAGTTCTCGGTCATGTTCACAGGAAAAGTGCTCATGTCCTCGACACCAAGTACAGCCGGTGGCTCATAATCTGCATCGCCTTTATCATCGCCAGATGCTTCAGCTTCCTCCTCCTCCTCATCATCATCATCTTCGACCACGAACCCCCCTATTGTCCTTGTCTTCGGCGGTGCCTGCGCAGCAGACGCCGTGGTAGGCAACTCTACCTTGGCAGGCATTTCGGATTGATCACCATCGGTCGGTGGAGCGGAAGCGGTCTCCGAGGGCGTAGAAACCTGTGGGGGAGGATTTGAATCGGATGCGGTTGGAGCTAAATCATCTTCGCTTGACTTGGACTCATCCAGCGGCGTGGAATACTCCACTTGCAACGTCTTGGAAGGATCATATTCATCAGAGTCGGAGTTGTCCTCATCCTGAGCATCCACCGGAGTCTGGTCCACCGCATCTGTGTTCATCGCCTGAGCCTCAAAGAAGGCCTTCTCTGCATCGTCTTCCGCCATGACAAAGGTCAGATACGGCGGTGCTGGGACCGGAAAACGAGTGTCGTGTGCAGTCAACCTTGGCTTCTCGGGCTGCGGTGAGAATCAATCCAGAACTTGGGGTATCAATACCTCTTTCAATCAACAATCCCCACTTTGAAACTCCAGGGCAGACAGCGACGTTTCGCTGGGCTGCAGGTGTTGCTGCGGTGGATCGTCGGGCAACGGTCTCACAGCATCGCAGAAGCTTCACCAGTGGCAGCAGGGCACCAGGTAATCAGTCACGTGATAAAGGCGGTCAACGCGAGAATGCGCAACGCGATCCGCCCGCGCGTTGATCCTTCTTATCCTGGCGTAGTAAGTCAGTCTGCAGGTATAATTACCCTTGGGGGATCCCTCGCTGCTGCACCACCACAACAACCCTTCTCCCTGTGATTTGTATCTCTGGCTGCAGTTTACCCTCTCTGTATCCATCTAAAAAATCTGCTTTCTTTTACCCTTACAATACTTTCTTCACCATGTCTGTCGTTTCGCTTCTTGGGGTCAAGGTTCTAAATAACCCCGCCAGTTTTACCGACTCTTACGAGTTCGAGATCACCTTCGAGTGCCTTGAGCAGCTCCAAAAAGGTACACCCGTCTCTTGAGAAGGGGCCTGTTTTTGAAATATCTAATCAAACTTCAGATCTGGAATGGAAATTGACTTATGTCGGCTCGGCTACGTCGTCAGTTCAACCCTACCCCTCGATTGTTTGTTCAAGATTGCACGCGCTAACGAGTGTTTTTTTTTTATTTCTCTTCAGATCCGAGTATGACCAGGAGCTTGACTCGCTTCTCGTGGGCCCGATCCCCGTAGGAGTCAACAAATTCATTTTCGAGGCCGACGCTCCAGACCTTAAACGGATTCCGACTTCGGAGATTCTTGGCGTAACCGTGATCCTCCTCACCTGCAGTTACGACGGCAGAGAGTTTGTTCGTGTGGGATACTACGTGAACAACGAGTACGACTCGGAAGAGCTTGCCGCAGACCCTCCTGCCAAGCCTATCATAGAGCGTATCCGCCGTAATGTTCTGGCGGAAAAGCCTCGAGTGACCCGATTTGCCATCAAATGGTTGGATCCCCGTGACACTTCACCCTTGTTGACTTGAGAAGCTGCTAATGTATGATATGTAGGGACTCGGAAGAATCCGCCCCTGCCGAATATCCCCCCGAACAACCCGAGGCCGACAATCTCGAAGACGACAGCAATGCCTACGGTGCTGAGGAGCGCGAACTTGAGGCCGCTTTGATCAAAGAACTCCAGGAGAGCGAGAAGGATGCAGGTGGAGACCACGAGATGGAAGGCGCTGAAGAAACCGCCGGCAAAGATGACGAGGAGGAAGATATCTCCGACGCGGAAAGTGAAGACCTTGAAGCTGAAAGTGATGATGACGAGGAGGACCTTGACGAAGACGAGGCTGGTGACGGTGACGACGATGTGGAAATGGGCGACGACTCGGAACAAAAAGACGAGGCGAACAAACCGGATCACATCGCACAACACCCAATGGCCGAAACTATGGTCCACTAAATGTGTCTTTGATCTTTGATGGTTTACGAATCACTCTATTTCATGACTTTTGAGATTAGTTCCAAATATTCCTGCAGTTCATGTTTATCCCCCATCAAGTATTTTTAAAACTAAGAAATAAGACATCTTGTTGCCACAATTCAGCAATAGAGATGAAAGTCACCATGACAACTGCTGTTACATTTATGAGGCTATGGAAGGCAGATGTAAGGGGTAACCTTGTCTTGCGGTGAGCCAGAGATGGGTTGTAAGTACATGGTATTTATTATTTACCCTGTAACTAATAAATAGCTATTAATTCAGGATTAATAAAAGCCCTCTTATCTCTTATATATATAAAATAAATAGTCTATACTACATCCCACATAAAGGAACTGTCTAGATATATATAAATTAACAATTCAACAAGAATATAGAAACAGAGACACCAGGCTCCAATGATAGATATCTATAGGAAATAAAATACAAGCTCCTAGCTGTAGTTTACAACATAGTATCCATGTTAATATATCTACCTACTCACCGCCGCATTAACAGGTAAGCCACCATAGAGGTAAATCAAGTATCACACAGATACCCATATTAATGAAAGATTATAACCTAAGGAGGATAGCCAGGTGAGAGAGAAGAAGAAATGCCCTCCACCCCACGCTACTTCTCCTGCGAACATATCCTCAACCCCCCCCACAGCCCATTACCATACGACATCGACTGTTCAGGAGGGGGAGGAGGGAGAGAACGGATCCCCTGTCTCTGTAAATGCTGCCACAAGGCGCAGAACGCCACGCGGACGCGCCCATTGTTCCTCGCGCTGATGGAGGAGTTGAACGGGCTGAACGGGCTTATTGACCGGGTGACGCAGGACGGACGCGCAGGCCTGCTCCATTGCGCGACCGTTACGTTGGAGCTGCACCGGTTGCATCGGCGGCGGAGGGAGGCTAAAGATGGATATATTGAGGATGTGGGCGGGTTGTGGGCGCCGTATAGGACGCGGTGGGGGCGTGTTGATCTCCCGGCTATGTATAAAGTGATGTGAGAATAGATTATGGATGGAGTTCGAGTGGAGTACGGTTCGTGTTGAGGACTTGATAAAAAAATATCTATGGGCGTTGGATTTATCGCTATCATAACATTCATACAGCCAGAAGACTAGAGACCGAATTTCGATCCGAGAACTGCAATGTTAGCACGTATTCCAAACTTTTATGTATGTATATGCTAGACTCACCTCCCAGAACGGCCTTCTTCTTCTGCTTCGACACGAACTTGCTCACATCGTCGGCCCAGTTGCTGCTGTTCTCCTCCAGCCGGTCCATGGTGTCTCCCATGATCCCGAGCCGTTCAGTGCGTTCCTGCATCTGACGCTGCATGTACGCCATGTAGCCCTCTTCACTGCCCTGCTGGGAACTGTGGCCGGTCGACGAGCGTGAGTTTCGGGTGAGTTGCTGCCGTTCCTGCTCGTCAAGTTTCATCTGCTCCAGCATCTTCTTCGACGGTGGCCGGTCGGGACCCCCAACTATCCATTTTGATCAGCTTCCATCATAAAGACTTGGTTTTGTGGGGAGAAAGACAAAGGGGGCCGACTTACTGAGAATGTCCATGTCGGCGGGAGATATGTACTGGGTGCCAGAGATCCACTGCATATTCGAGATTGTCGGTCGCGGAGGCATCGGGAGTTGGTCGTTGTAAAGCTTGTCATCAGAAGGTTGACTAGAAAGGTCAGTACTAGGCGAAATTCTAATCCAGCAAAAAAAAAAAAAGGGGGGGGGGGGGGGATTGCATACAGTGTGACCCCAAAGCCCCAGACACTGAGTACTTCAACTTCCGACGGGCCAACCCAAGTCAAAATATCACCCGACGGTGCAACAAGCGACTCGGATATCCGCCTCATGTCGACGATGTGATCGATCTTGCTACATCCTATTTCCTTGAGAGATGGGATCGAGAAAGCCCGCGCATTCCCGTCCCCGAAGAGCCCAACAAGGCTGTAGCCACGGCCCTCGGTCTTCACCACCGCAGCAGAGTCACAAAGATAATTATCCCATGTCTTGTGGGCCCCCTTGGCCGTGGCAGGTTTGAAGATCCTGCAGCCTGACACGGTCACGGCAACAACGACACCGTTGACCTTAAGGCCGTTCCTCAACCCCCCGACGGCATTAGGAGATGCCAAGGCAGGACTGCCAGTTTCAACATCGAGAGGGGAGATGCTGATAACCTTGTCGTCAAGAGAGGTAGCCCCCACAAAAGACGCGGAATAGGTTCCATTGCTGGCCGGCAGGATCTTGAAAGTCGCAAAGTTGCCACGGCTAGTACCAACAAAGCAGCAGATGCTTGAATATTCTACATGCAAGTCAGCTTCACACTTGCTCATTATCTCAGTGGAAGAGGAGATAGGGAAGCGGAATAGGAGGTAGGGAATTGGAAAGAATCTCACCTTCACCCTCCAAAGTCATGACTCCAAACTCGATACTAGTCGGCCACTCTGCTGGTGCCTCATCGGATGCGCGGGACTTGCGGAAACTGGCCCGCTTGTTCTGTTTCAAGAAATCCGAGAGATGAGCAGTGTATATGATGGCCGGCCCCCGCAAGTCGATGATGACAAAAGAGCCGCCTTCGAAGCCGACGGCGACAAAACCGACTTCACTATGTTTCAGTGCCGTCACAGGTCCCTTTTCCATTTCCAACATGGTGAGTGGCAGAAGACCCTGTTTCAGGCCCGGGTCAGTACGGTGCTTAATATTCGTGAGTGCTCCGGGTCCACTATTCGGGCCAGCAGGCGCATCGCTGCCAACGTTTGCATTGTTGCCCCATCTGAAGATAACAACCTCTCCACTCCGGAGGCCGACAGACAGCTCGCCAGTCAATCCCACCATGGACATCTGGGTGACTTCAACGTTGCTGACGCGGCCAACCGCACGGCTGAGATCGACCTGGATCACCTCGCCGTTCTCGATTTCATCGTCGTTGCCGGCATCCCAGAGACGGATGGTCCCGTCGGCATGTGCGGCTATGATGATGTTGCGGCGTTCGAAGCGCTTGAGAGTCTTCTTCCCCTCTGCACCGCCGACCAAAAACCTGGGGCCTTGTTGCCGTCGCTCCTTGAGACCCAGCCAGGCAGACCGGTCGATTGGCGCCATGCTGATCTTTGTGACAAACGGCTGAACGAAGGAAAGGTAGGGATGGAGCATGTTTGTGGGAGTGATTGGATGGCCGCTGGGGAAACTTAGAGTGACCAGCTCACCAGACGACAGCAGGACCATCACCGCGATAGGGTCATGAGCGCCGGCGTAGTAAGGGGACGAGCGCGGGAGCAGACAAAAGTCCACCACTTGTGCACCTGGAGGCACAGCAAGGGAGGTGGTCGTTTTGACTGTATCGAAATAATTCGACAGGATCTGCCACGAGGAGGTCTGGTAGTTGGGGGTGGTTCCGAAATCCAAGAAGGTGAGACCATTGCCGGGCTCATCCTTCAATCCGCCACCAGCAACCAAAAGGCCGGTATTGTCGGCGTTCTGTTTCGCGCACCACGCAACCTTAGTGATGGGGTGCTTGGTTTCCAGGAGGCCCCCTGCCGAGCCAGGTCTGCCGGAAACAGCACCTGGCTGATCTACATTGATATCTTGGATCGTCCTCGCCATTAGCTTGCGGCCGTCCTTGGAATCCCACAGGACCAAGCTCGTATCGTCGTGGACCGTCAGGACAAAAATCCCGTTCGGGTGCCAGAGCACCTGTGTCACCTTCGGCTTGCGGACATCGTTGAACGGGATCCCCGAGTCGCCTCCCAGCGCGCCGGAGGGCACCTCGTACTCGAAGTACTTCTGTGCAAGGTTCTGCTTGAACGAAAACACGACGGCTCCTTCGGGATAGCCAACAAGAATCTTGCCGATATCGCGAGGCGAAAATGCCATGGAGATCACGGGTGTCAATCGAGTGCGTGAGTTACGCTCTGCCCACAGGTTCGGCACTCGAAAGGGCGTCAACGATTCACGATCCATATCGTACGCAATGATATCGCCTAACGGTCAGCTTTTTATTCTTCCATGGCGAAACCTAACCCCCATCCGCTCTTCTTCCACTCCAATTTCATTTTTCGTACCATTCTGTAAGCCAATAAAAGCATAATCGAGGCTAGGATCCGTCAACAACGCAGTGACATGGCCCGGCGGCGCATAGGAGACGAGCACGCTCTTTGTCTCCAGCGAGAAGATGGAGATCTCATTCCTCGAGTCCACGCTGACAAGCTTATCGCCGCAGAACTGTAGGAACCTGGCTGACGCCTTTCGCGGGAAATTGAACACGACCAGCACCCGTCGCTGGCCAAAGACGTAGATCTGCCCGCTTCCGAACTGTGTATCGCTTGTTCCTACGGCGAGGAGGGATTGTACGGGATCGTATGCCACCACACTGATCTGAGAATTAATGCCGCATCGAGCAAACTGCATTCGTTAGAAAAAAAAAGAAATAAAAACGAACGTCCTTCTAGATGTCGTAGGGAAAGGAAAGAAAGGAAAGAATAGGAACTTGAACGTACTTCGTCGAGCAGGAACAGGTCCGGCGACAGACCCTCCGACAGATCCTTCTGGATACCGGCCTGTTTGCCTCTAAGGAACTGGGCCATCTCTACAGGTCAAGACCGTGCAGGCGAGAGACATTGACAAAAGGTGCAAAGATAGGTCGGGAGAAGGAAGAGGGAAGCAGAGAGACACTGACGACATTGGCTTGCAGCTGTCAACGCCTGCCCCGCCGCAGGCTCTCTTGGCATCGGTCGGACTCGGCTTGAGGCTATTATTATAGCATCAATAGAAGCCGAACTGGGAGGTTTTAATTGGTTATTTCTTTGAAGATTTAATAGCAGTGCCTATGGTGATCTTTGTGCAATGATGGGTATAGTGTTGTTGCTGTTGTTGTAGTAGTGTAGTGTAGTCCTCTATATGCTAGTAATATGATACATTTTTGACAATAATCGCTCAGAATGCAAAACACGCCTGCGCCAAGTTCATGCAAGTTCCATGGCCTCCAGCTTCGCGATAGTTGCCGTTAATCGTCTGCGGGCATCGATCTCAGTGGTCTCATCACGGTTCCGGTAGTACTGGGCAGTGATCCGGTAGACAGAACGGTAACAAGAGTAGCTGAGGAACGAGGTTAGTGGTATGTTTTGTTATGCTTTGAGTTCTAGCTGTGCAAGAGAGAGACATACAGAAGAAGACGGGCCTGTTCCAGCTTGGTCTGGGTGAGCTGCAGGCCAAATCCGTCCCAGACGGCAGGGGAAGCGTCGTCGAAGATTTCCGCCATGAGGATATCGCCCCATATCGCGTGGCTGAGGTCGATGACCCCAGAGAGCTGCCTGGAATCCTGGTCGAGGAGCACTTGCGACGGGTGGCCGAAGTCAATGACTACCAGACGTGGCAAGGTGATCTGCTCCAACGACGGGGCCAGGCGGCTGATCTCATACCGGATCTCCGAGTAAGGGAGGTGGATGAACATGTCCTCGGCATCCCGAAGCACGCCCTCGAAGAGAGCAAAGAAGGCCTCCCGCCAGGACTGACTGCCCACCCCGGAGGCTACCCTGTCGAGCGGTCCGAAGAGCGGTGCCACATGCTGGCCGACCATATTCGCCAGGAACCCCAGGTGGCGATCGATGTCGTTGCGCTCCTGGGGGCTCAGAAGCGTCTGCATCTCCTGCAGAGTCGTTCCTTTCACATACTGCCTCAAGAGAAACGCCGATTGCCCGGCGGCCCCCTGGGGATCGTATTGAAACAGCTGTGGAAGACACGGGTTGGCGCTCTGGTTGAGAATGGCGAGCATCCGGGCCTCCGTCTCGAGCAGGAACCGCTCCCGACGCAACAGAGCCGTTGTTGGCCGGGGGTAGCTTTTGAGTATCAACTGCACGCCATTTGATAGGGTGAGAAGACGCAGCGGGTGCAGGTGGCCTTCCAACGACTGTACCCGCTGTAGTCGCACCGTGTGAGGGAAGAGAGGGTAAAGGATGGATTGTAGCTGATGCTCCTCGCTGGTATCGATCTCCAGACCAGGAGGCGACATGACATCACTGTACGCGGGCTTCTGAGGTACCGACCACGCCAAAACCTGATGCATTGCATCCGATGAGGGAGGGGAGCAGATTAAATGAATAAATGAAGAGAGAGAGAAAGAAAAAGAGAATGGAAGAAGACGGTTGATTCAAGTATATTATTTGTCTCTCCGACCAGGGGGAGGGGGGAAGGGGGAGGGCAAAGACACAGACAGACACACGCACTGCTGGGTACGACCTCGACGGATTTTAAAAGGAAACACTGTCCGATGATTCTATCGCCTGACAATCAATCGCAGCAGCTATCAAGTGAGAGGTATTGGGTAGGTAGTCTCTGGAGGAGGCATGAGCCTGCAGGGAGGTGCGCAGGACGGCGACGCTTACTCGCATTGTTCTCCATACAGCACATTAGTACTACGACATATGTAGAGTAGCAAGTAATAATATTAGTGCAATAATAATAATAATAATAATAATAATAATAATAAAACAACGTCGCATTGACATCTAGAAATTTTCGGCTAAATTCCTCGAATTTGGGGATGTCTAAGCGGCCAGCCCATCCATGGGCAAGCATACCATACCCCGTAGCTAAGAAGAGGGGACCGTTTTTAGCACCTCAAGACAAGACAATCGCGAGAGGCTTGGGAGCATCGATTGTCCTTAAGGAGGGCATCCGCCGGTAGTTGGGATCAGCCAGCCAGAAACACCGCATCTCCACGACAAGTCGCACAATGGATCGTCTTGATGACTGGGCTTTTCGCCTAAGTCTCCCACGTTGAGAAAGGCGTAAACCTGGCCTGGTACACGGACCAGCCAATCACCGGCGGGCCTTGCCGAGCTCACTTCTGGATCAGCATCGGGCCTCAGGTAAACCGTCCATTGGTGATCAGGATGAATCGCAGGCTGCCTCGCAAGGGATTCGTCTCCATATGTAGTATGTAGTATAAGCCACATCGCTAGATAGGCATCCAACTGTCATTGCTTCCAGCGGACTTCTTGCTGGAACAAGACTAGTCGCGACCGCCACAGGCAAGGTCTCGGTCTGTTGACATTCGACCATGCTCTAGTAGTAAACGTCAAGCTGGGATAGGAAAAAGAAAGGTGGGCGAAGGCACTGGAGAGAGCTCCCTGACTGGAACAGGGTGCAAGCCAAGCTTTGGAGCAGCCTCTGCTAGCAGCAATCCCCCTCACTTCTAGAATCTGGTGGCGGTCTATCAAGGTGCTTGGTTGCGTACACTAGTCTTTCCCCTTGTGGTGATTCGTATCGACCTCAAAGTCGCACACTCCGAGTGCCCAGGTGTTTTCTAGCTGGCAGTATATGAGCCGGCTCGCTAAGCACACCAAAGAGTCATCCATTTTTACTTCCTCTTGAACAGCGGTCACACACTTCTTCCGTTTCTGATTCGGACAAAACGCCGCGACTATCATTTAGATTCCACTACTGTCGCGGCCTGCAGTTTTGGTGTGGGGTCGTATAACTCTGCCAGGTTGAACCGCTTTAACTTGTCATAATCGCTTCCTACGACGCTCATTCCGATCACGTTCTAGGACCGCCAGCTTAGTAAGGATCCTGGTAGGCGGTTGCATAGAGGTAAAACACACCTGGATGATGTCGACGAGTATGACCAGGTCATAGTTTTTGAGATCCACCGGATGCTCGGGCCCTACTGCATCTGCCACTGTCTTGATCACGCCGTCCCGGTCGAATTTGCTCTTGCCTCGGATACTTGGCCGGATAGCGTACTATGCGATAGTTATTCGTTAGATGACTGGTTGCTGCTGCTACTGCTGTTGTTATTGCAGAGTAGAGGTGCCGGCCACTCACTTTTCTAGGAGGCCCCCCTGAATGGAAATGAGGCTTGAGAATCTCCTTTGCAAACTCGCTCAAATCAACGCTCAGCGTCTTGCGAATCGAGCTCACAGGGTTCAATCGTTTGACCCATCGACTGCGTTTCCGATCAGGGTTGGCATGCGCATCCAGGCAGAGATCATGAACCATTTTCACCGGATCTATGCTCTTATCAAATCGTATAAAGGTCACTGTCATAAGGTCAATAGTCGGTCCAGAAACCAGCCAGAATCTCACGAACCACATGGGATGTCCAATCTGATCTCACGGAAGAGCTTCGGCTTCTTCGAATCGGGCTGTAGCTCTTCCATCTCCCTCTTAATCTGTGCCTCGATGTCGTCTGCATCAGCATCAAATTCATCATCACCCTCCACGTCTCCTGTGGCGTCTTCCACACTCTAATCCATACACGTCAGCTGCGGAACCTTTCGACAGTTACATATACCCAGGAGGCAGAAACACGAGAAGGAAAAAAAAAAACAAAAACAAACAAACATCATGTTACTTACCTGGGAGAAGAGATCCAGAACCTCTGCCACACATTTCTGCTCTCTGCCCATATCACACGTTACAAAAACGCCCCAATCCCCTGATTCAATCGTGGCCTTGTTACCCTGCTGTTTCCGCCATTTGTCTCCCCCCTGTCCCAAACAGTCAGCACCCAGATACCTATCTTAGATGTCTCCAGATTCACTACCGTAGATGAGATACACGAACCTTGCGTCTTTTCGCCGACTGATTGGATGGGTTGCCCGGCATGGTTCTCTTTCCTGGCCCAGCCATTCACGGTTCGGAGCACACGGATCGGGGTTCCTTGATTCTGCCCTCTGCGCTGGCAGCTAAATTTTTTTTTCTCTAAGCAAAGAGAAACACCGACTGTTCGAGTCCACCGTCTCGAGCTCCAGCTCCCTCCTTTCTTTGGTCGAAGTGGGGAGATTCAACGGCGCGTTGTGTGTGAACCGGCCGATTGCCGGTCGGAGTCAGTAGGTGCTTTGGGGGCAGGTTACCGCCATTGGCGAGGGCGGTCCGTCATGGAACTGCCTAGAAAAGTCACCGACATGCCTAGTTTGAACTTAACCACAGTCAGCTTGCCTTCCTCGGACAGGCACGTCGGCCCTCCAAAGGCAAGTTACCTATCTTTTGGTAGCGATCCAACCTATCCAAGGGAGTCAATCGGTGACTAACCTGTCTCCGGGATGGTTCTAGAACGATATCAGTTATATATCTGACGATCCCAAGACACTAAGGCTTTGTTCCGGCTCTTCATTGACTGGAAATATGGACACTACTCCCTTTCCCGCCACGTCCGACAGCCGCTAGCTATCAGGCCACCGGCCGTTAGACTACGACTACGACCATGACTGTGAATGTACTACATACAGTACGGAGTAGTAGTGTACCTGTACCTAATTATCAGTTTATCGGACGCCATCGTATCATGTATCGCAAACTACACCCGCCGCCGCCATGACATCACCATTGGATCATAATATCTGGCCGGCTTTCGCCGGTGGCATGACTGCTGTCGCCAGAGGATATATATGAACCTGCAGAAGGAAGCGTCGATCATCATCGTCAATACCTATCCAGTTCTAACCACAGTTTGCAATACAACTACACTGCCTCTCCTCACCATCTCAGCTACCTACCATTCTCGCAATGACCACTGACATCGCGACGAGGGAGCTCCGGGAGCCCATTGACGTCGTCGAGTATCTCTACCGGCGGTTGTACGAGGTTGGAGTCCGATCGGTCCATGGTTTACCGGGTATGATCTATTCAATCGAAGTGAATTCCCTTTTGAAAATAATAATAAGGAACTAACAGACTTTCAGGTGACTATAACCTGGTAGCCTTGGACTCTCTACCGAAATGTGGGCTGAAGTGGGTTGGAAACTGTAACGAGTTGAATGCAGGTGCGGGGTCAAATCTGCAACCTTCAATAATTTCCTAACAACCAACGCATCACTGACAGTTAAAAAATAGGATATGCGGCCGATGGCTATGCACGAGTCAATGGAATCAGTGCCTTGATCACCACATTTGGCGTGGGCGAGTTGTCTGCTCTCAATGCGATCGCGGGGGCGTATTCCGAGTTTGTGCCGATCGTGCACATCGTCGGCCAACCCAGCACCAAATCGCAGCGAGATGGGATGCTGTTGCATCATACCCTCGGTAACGGAGACTTTAACGTCTTCGCCAATATGAGCGCCGGGATCTCCTGTGCCATGGCCAAGCTCAACGACCCCCACGAAGCGCCGACTCTGATTGACAACGCCATTCGGGAATGCTGGATCCGCAGTCGGCCCGTTTACATCACTCTCCCGACTGACGTGGCCGTGAAGAAGGTGGAAGGCGCCCGGTTGAAGACGCCTCTTGACCTTTCCTTCCCCCCGAACGATCCCGAGCGGGAAGACTATGTCGTTGATGTTGTCCTCAAGTATCTCCATGCGGCAAAGAACCCCGTCATCCTGGTCGATGCCTGCGCCATTCGTCACCGCGTTCTGGACGAGGTCCACGACTTTGTTGTGGCCTCGGGCTTGCCCACCTTTGTGGCTCCGATGGGCAAAGGCGCAGTGGACGAGTCTCACGAGAATTACGGAGGCGTCTACGCTGGAGACGGCTCGAATGCTGGCGTTCGCGAACAAGTTGAATCCTCCGACCTGATCCTGAGCATCGGGGCGATCAAATCCGACTTCAACACTGCCGGATTCACTTACCGGATTGGACAACTCAACACCATTGACTTCCACAGCAACTATGTGCGCGTCCGGTACTCCGAGTATCCCAACACCAACATGAAGGGTGTTTTGAGGAAGATTATCCAAAAGATGAACAAGCTCACCCCGTCACCCAGCCCATCGGTTTCGAATCAGCTACCCGATTCCGAAAAGGACTCCTCGGAGGAGAAGATCACGCACTCGTGGCTGTGGCCTTCCGTCGGACAGTGGCTGAAGCCGAATGATGTCGTCATCACGGAGACGGGTACTGCCAACTTTGGCATTTGGGAGACTCGGTTCCCCAAGGGAGTAACCGCAATCAGCCAGGTTCTTTGGGGCAGTATCGGATATTCTGTTGGTTCTTGCCAGGGAGCCGCACTGGCCGCCAAGGAGCTGGGTAATCACCGAACGATTCTGTTTGTCGGAGACGGAAGTTTCCAGCTCACTGCGCAGGAGGTGAGCACGATGATCAAACACAAGCTCAATCCTATCATGTAAGTGTCATCGATCCATATTCTTTTGAAAAGATTTTCCATATTCTTCTGAAAAAAAATCCCCCCAGCTGATCTGTCTCAGTTTTGTGATCTGCAATGAGGGCTACGAGATTGAACGGCATATCCACGGCTGGTCCGCCGATTACAATGAGATCCAGCCCTGGAGCTTCAAGGATATCCCGGTCACCTATGGGGCCACTGAGGAGGAATACAAGGGCTACCAGGTCAAGACCCGAGAAGAGCTCACCGCGCTCTTCGCCGACGAAACCTTTTCCTCCGCCCCGTGTCTGCAGGTATGTTAAATGAATTTTGCATCCGTCGTTCCTATTGACTTGCCAGGTTTGGAGCTGACCGAATCTAGCTTGTGGAATTGCACATGCCTCGGGGAGACGCCCCATTGGCACTCAAGATGACCGCTACCGCTGCTGCCTCTCGGAACAAGGAGTGAGACACGCGAGCAAAGGATATATTCGGGAACGAAAGTCACCTGGATAGTAATGATTAATAATTAGCAAATGGAATGCCCATCAATGATCATCAGTTATCTGACAGCAGGGCACTGCAACGTAGAGGATCCCACCATGCCATTGTCCACCTGAAGATCGACCGCTTGATCTCCGTTCATTGGCTCGCTAATTATAATCTTAACTTTAGAGGTACCCAACTAAAGCTGTAGTAGTTAGTCAACTAGGTAGTTAACGACTAGTCAACGAGGTAGATCAATACAAGGTAGCGAGAACGAATACTCCCGAGTCCGTAGATACTAGACAGGTAACTACCTACTCCGTATTCTATAGATACGTTCAATCCGTAGAGGCGATCAACCTAAAAACAGAAGCTTATAAAACATACCAAACAAGAGCATGGAGCCTCTTCTAACCATCGTGCAGCCCCTGGACAATTTCAGGGAGAGAGTTAGTGCTGGTGTTTTGGCCGATCAGCCAGCCATTGTTTGCTTATCAGACGGGAGGATCACGAGAAAATGTTTCCGCCTGAAACGGGCCACGTGATTGACTCGGCGCGCGGACCAGCTGAGCTGTTGGCGAAACTTCGGCTGCGAGATCTCGGCGGATGAAGGGTCAAGCTGGCGCAAGGGGCTTGCCGATGAGGAGTTCTGTCGTTCTGTCGTTCTGTCTCCCTGGGTGGATGTTCCTTGAAAAGACAGTGTTCCTGTCTGTTTGAGATTGCCCGGATATCTCCTTGCGGTGCGATAAACAGTTCTCCGCTTTTCGTAGGTTGTATTCCTGGCTGCAGGCTCGAAGAGAGAGCGTGCAGGTCCCCCCCTCCCCCCCCTCCTCACCCTCTCAGGATGTTCTTAAGAATCAAGATGTTCGGGGAGCCTGAATTTCCTGGTGCTAACAGTGGATGCCTTAGGCTGTTTCGACAAGAGAACCTGCTCTTGGGACCTTTCCCTCTCCTCCATCCATACTGCCGGACAAATATCCTTTGGGGATCGCAGCTTCATATCGCACAGGCTGCGCGGCGATTATCGAGTTGGTTCTTGTCATTCAGACCTGACAGCGCGCGCCCTGAATTACCCTATCCTCCCTGCCGATCGATCATCATCCCTCAGTGGTTTATCGCTGCCCGCCACAATTCTGAGGTATCACCGTTGGGACGACAACTCGGTTAAACAGGAGCACCAGCCGAGCGGTCCAGGTCCTTTGATTGCTTTTTTCATGACAGCCTGATTGGATACCCGGGGGTCTTGGCGATGCGTGAACTTTTATTTGAAACATCAAAACATATTTGCAGGTTTCCGCCTGATTGAATGAAGCTCAAGACGTGCCTACTCTTCGACTAGAGCGGCTAGCGGTTCTTCTTCTGCTCGGAATCGTCGACGCGGTTTACCGGATCGTCCTCTTTCAACGTACATATCATGAAAAATTGCAATGGAGGGCCAACGACAGCAGTATATACCGGCACCCCCACCGCCCCCCTCGATGGTCTCGGGGCCTCAAACGCATCTTCTATCTCTGCCTCCACCTCCTCCTCGGCTTCCTCCGGTGCAAGCCCCAAGTATGATACCCCCGCCTCCTCCGGGTCCGCCTCCGGGTCCGCCTCCAGGCACTGGGTATAGCATCGCATCAGGATGGCAGCAGACTTGGGCAAGACCGCCGCTTCCCCAGGGGTTTCCTCCCCCCCCTCCTCCACCACCACCTCCTCCTCTTCTTCCAAACCAGTCAGGGAATCCCCATCTGGCGTTCAGCCGCCAACCAGCACCTCTCTCCATTCCACCGCCTCCCCCACCTAGCGAGACGCAGCCTCTGACTTCCGCCACTTATATCCCGGGTGGCGAGTCTTTTGGACCGGGTGTTGGCATACCTCCATTGTTTGATTCATATTCTCGCCCATACGATGCCTACGGAAATTTCGTGGGAGCTGACCGACAACGCAACCCTTCCAACCACTCGTATGAGCATGCGGGCGTGGATAACTCTCAATACAGAAAGGAAGGAAGTTTCCCGCAAACACCATCCACTCGCAACATTCCTGCCGCTCTAGCGATCCATGAAAACGCGCATGAAGTGGTATCGCCTGGTCTGCCGACGGCAACGCTGCAAAACCCACAACCGCAAGCGACGAACCATGGCAATGATCTGTCCAAGTCGCCCAGTCACCGTCATAATGCTAGCAGCACTTCACTAGGCGGCATGTCTCCGGGCGAGGCTGCCATCCAATGGCCACTAGATCGAGTGCTGCTTTGGCTGGCAAGGAATTCGTTTTCCCGGGACTGGCAAGAGACCTTCAAAACCCTGGAGCTACAAGGTGCCGATTTCCTTGAACTCGGTCATGGATCCAATGGCCGAGGAAACCTCCAAAAAATGCACAACGTTTTGTATCCACAATTGATGAAGGAGTGCACATCCAGCGGAACAGGCTGGGACCAAGCCCGGGAGCGTGAAGAAGGAAAACGTATGCGCAAGTTGATCCGTCTGATCCATGATGACCATGATTTTGGCATTCCCATACAGAAGCGACGCGAATCCCTGCCGCTGGCGGCAAGTGCTCCCTCTGATACTGGTTCGGAATTCTCCCCCCATCTTGGATTTGAACCACTTTCTGCGAACTCTGCCACAGGGAACGTTGAGAACAGTCCGAAACCAGCAAGCGCCAACCTCAAGGCACCAAATTCTGGCTTCACAAACAGGCAAAGTGTGCAGATGCGCTCGGTCACCCTCCCGATCCCAACAAGTCACGATTCTGCACGCGATCCTCAACCCGCCGATTCCACAGCAGCAGCGTGGCCTCGCTCGGAACACTCCCGGGCCGCCTTGGCTTCCATTGTCGGTGACCACCGAAGACAGAGTCCCTCCGTTTCAAGTGACAGCGGCCCTTTGGCTGGCCCTTCTATCCGCCCGTTCGAAGAAAGCCCTCAAAGTGGCAGTCCTTCCCTGCAGCCTGCTGCTCTGGCCCACCCGGGCCTGACCTCGTCATCCACAGGCGATTTGACCCTGAAATACGAACACACTCGTGGCAACAGTTCGGATTCGATAACGGGCACAAGCCGCGGGCCCCCTTCTGCGGGGGCCCGGTATTATGAGACTCGAAGACCTGGGCAAGATCTCACTCGTCCTTCTCCGCAAGACCAATTTTCCCGACAGTTTGGCGGTGATGCTCATGGGTATCTACCCAAGGAGCATAGCAAAGGCTTCCTCAACCTGTTCAAAAAGAAGACCAAGGCATCAGACTCAAGTCACCCTTCACCAGAGGAACAATCTCTTGAGTCTCCCACAAGTCCAGTCAACACACGTCAGAATGGGCATCATCTGCCATTTATGAAGCCAGGTTACAATACAAGCGATCTGTCAATAGGAGAGCGTCCCTCATCTTCCTCCCTGTCAGATCTGGAAAAGACGGCTATTCGCTCGAAGGTCGCACAGAAGGGAAAGAAATGGACATTTGTGACCACAGATGGATGGAACTATCGCCTAGTGGACATTACAGATAATGACTCGGTCGAGTCCCTGCGTTCCACAATCTGCCAAACTTTGGGAATCCTCGATTGGACGAACGCTCAGATATTCACCACCGAACCTGGGCAAACTGACCATGAGGAGCCTTTGAATGACTCGATGCTCGCTCATTATCGGCGTTCAAAATCGGACGCGGTTGGATCCTTGAAGCTTTTTGTACGCGGGACCTCGTCGTCATCCCACTTTACTGGCCTTGGCGTCTCTATCCCCTCAGAGAAGACCGCGGCTTCCCCCATAATAGGGCCACACCAACTGCATCGAAAGCCATTGGATGAAGAAGCCCTCACTCGGATCTCGCCACTCACCCAAGGAAGACCTGCCTCCCCCCCCTTGGGCTCTCGGCAGACCACCCTCAAAGCCTCTACTGCCAAGTCGATCTCGCGCGACACTTCGCAAAGCTCTCTTACAACTCCGACGATGGATGGAACGCCAAGTTCCTCACAATTCTCCGGTACTGCCGAGAAGACAGATGTCATCAGCCGGCACGAGTATATGCGCGAGGTTGAGCGGAAAGAAATGGCATTTCATCTATCGAAACAGCAAGCCGGGCAATCACCAAGAAAGGACACTTATGGAGTCACTGGATACCGGCGTGAAGGTGTAATTGACTTTGACTCTCGCCGCATCTCTCCTTATGAAGACAAGAGAGCTGACAACCTCGTGCCCCTCCGCAAACCCCCATTGGCACCAGCCGAGTCGAATACACTAACCAAAGTCAATTCTCTCAGCAAGAGGAATATTGACCGCACGCGGGGTCAGCCGACAATACAGACGCACGGACTGGGAGCGACGCTGGCTACTATGGCTAGAATTACAAGCGCAATTGGTACACCCTCACCCTCGGTGCCAGTTCTACCCGCCTTACCTGCCTTTTCGGATCAATCCAGTAAGAGTACAGCCGGTAATTACCTTCCCTCACAATTGTGCACCTCCATCTATAGGAATTCACTCTAACTTCTGGTAGATGGTTTGAAAACCTCGCAAAGTCTTTCTGGAGAGCAAGTCGCACAGTCTTCGGAAGAAGAGCCGTCATTCAGCAAAGCGCAGGCTCGGAAATCATATGGACCGGAATTTGATTTCCAGGAATCAACAGTTTCCTTTTCGAAATCACCAGGACTGATAGAGGAGTCTGATGAAGATTCAGACGACGGGTTATTCGCCATTCCATTGGCAAACAGCCAGAAGGTCCCAGACGCTCAACCGCCCAATGCCCAATCTTCGCACGGGAGCCTCAAGAAAACGGAAAAACCATCCCTGACGCTGGACACAGAGACCAGACTGCGGAAGGGATTGTCGGTCAGCTTCACGTCTCCTGGCGCACTTGGTGACTCCTCTTCCGGCCCAGCTTCCCAACAATCCAGCGGAGAAGAGGACTATATCAAGGTCGCTCTGGCCACTGCAGACCGACCACCCGAGACCCCCGAAAGGAAGAAATCAAAGTACCGCAGGGATTCCTTTGCTCGCGGTGATGTCTGGGCCAGTCGTCCCCCAGTTGAAGGTGTCATCGACAACCTAGACGACTTCTTCCCTGACGTTGATCTCGATGCTCCTTACTTCCAAGGACATGGAGTATCACCGCCCTCTTCACCAGCGGGTAAAGCCCCTGTTGATAATGATACCATTCCACGAACGAATTCAGAGCTTCCCCCTTATCCTGGGCCATCCAGTTACAGCAAATCCGATACCCTTGGCTCTGACGAGTCGACTTTGAAGGCGAAAGAGGCTGGGTTCGTCGCTCGGCGCAACATCAACCGCTCCGGGGGGCTCTCACGTATGAAGTCGATTCGAGAGGTCGCCAAGGGTGCGAACCAGTTCCATAGAAACCGCAGTGTCGCTTCGGTTGGAAATCAGCGATCTGGAGACATCTTGCGTCGGAAGAGCACCAAGATGTTCGGTGCTAAAATCATGCAAATCAGCCCTAAACCAGGTAGTCGATTGAGCCAACTTGATCCTATTCCGCAGCAACCGGAACCAACGGGCAGCAAGTTGCAAAGACAGGCCACTTTCCGTATCATTCGTGGTCAGCTTATTGGTAAAGGAACGTACGGTAGAGTCTACCTGGGCATTAACGCGGACAATGGTGAGGTTTTGGCCGTCAAGCAGGTGGAGATCAACACCCGGCTTGCTGGACAAGACACGGACCGCATCAAGGAAATGGTCGCTGCTCTGGATCAAGAGATCGACACCATGCAGCATCTCGAACATCCCAATATTGTGCAGTATCTAGGATTTGAACGAGGGGAGTTCTCCATCTCCATCTACCTCGAGTATATCTCTGGTGGTTCGATCGGCAGTTGTCTTCGCAAACACGGCAAATTCGAGGAGAGCGTGGTTCAATCCCTCACGCGACAGACGTTGAGCGGACTTGCATACCTTCATGACTCGGGAATCTTACACCGGGATCTCAAGGCCGATAACATCCTCTTGGACTTGGATGGGACTTGCAAAATCTCTGACTTTGGAATCTCCAAGAAGACCGACGACATTTATGGCAACGACTCGTCCAACTCGATGCAAGGCTCGGTGTTCTGGATGGCACCAGAGGTCATCCAATCGCAGGGCAAAGGGTACAGTGCTAAAGTCGACATCTGGTCTCTGGGCTGCGTGGTGCTAGAGATGTTTGCCGGTCGTCGTCCGTGGAGCAAGGAAGAGGCAATCGGCGCCATCTTCAAGCTTGGGAGTTTGAACCAGGCACCGCCCATCCCCGACGACGTCTCAATGAATATCAGCCCCGCGGCTTTGGCCTTTATGTGGGACTGCTTTACAGTGTAAGTTTTGAACCAGAAAAAAAAAGACATCATTCAAGAGATCTAATCAATCGTGTTACAGTGACTCGCGCGACCGACCCACGGCAGAGACTCTACTGACTCACCCCTTCTGCGAACCTGATCCCAAATATAATTTCCTCAACACGGAACTCTATGCCAAGATTCGCCATGTGCTGTGATGGGCAGATCTCCTAGAAACCCTTCTCTTTTGCTTGCTTGGTCCATGTGACACTACACATTCGCCTTGGTTTTTCTTCACATACAGAGCCAGCACTATTCATCATTCGGAAAATCCTTAATTCCCTCCTTGCCACCTTGCAAGGCATTCCATACTTTTCATTTCCTCATGGCCACATGATACGGCTCATATTGTACATAATTTCGACTTTGGAAAACAAAATGAATGAGATTCCCAGAGAGGAGGCACTAATTTTGAGACATCACGCATCTTCGTTTCTACGTATCTAGTAACGCGAGTCAATCTGATGGGAAAAGCTATATTGCTTGAAAGGGAAAAAAGTATGTACAATCACATCGGCTATGGTTGGGTAGGTATCTATATCTTGGTAACCAAATCATGGGAGGCTAACTATGTATGGCCACTGGTAACACTTCGACCAACGCTGCCACTCATGACTTCATCCTCCTCCTCGTCGTCGTCGTCGTCTTCGACTTCGTCATCGGACGACCGATGCATATCCGTGATACCAACGCGGAAGACCTCATCGCACCATTCCGCAAAGGTGTCGACGTCCCAGACTGCGTCTTCGCGGCCCTTGCCCTTGCGGCTGACTGAGAGGCCCTTTTTCCTCTCGGAGGAGGTATACTTGTCGAAGAATTCCTCGTAAACCTGAATAACTCGGTCTTGGACCGCGCCGACAAGAGTCTCCTTCATCCGTACGTCGTCCAGGTAGTCGTTAAGGACACTTCGGAGAGTCGTGACTTCTTTCTCGATGTTCCGGCACGTGGGGATAATGACTTCTCCTCCGCGCTGTTGGCTGTTCCGCTTGTCCACGAATTTGGTGGGAAGGGTGTCGGTCATCTTGGTCGCAAACCCATTGATGAACTCGTTGATCACCGTTCTCAGACCCCCGTCAAGTTCAACCTTGGCATCCAACATGTTCTCCACAACGCGCGGCAGAAGACCGTTGCCGACTAGCTGTATCAGGTTGCGCGGGTTGAAAAGGCCACCGCGCTCTCGAAGTTCCCAGAAAGTGCTGGTGATTCCGGAGAAATCGAATGAGACCTCGGGAGCAACGTACTCGATGTCAAAGGCAACGATCTGTTGCTTGAGGATCAAAAGATGGCTCATGAGAAATAGCTGTCCGTCAGCACTAGATGATTTGTTGGACACCTGAGTCCTCGCTTGGTGAAGAGATAAGGTCGTTTGATGCACAATCTGATGAGCCAAGTCATCAAACACGGTCGACTAATATAACAGAGTTAGCTAAGAAGTACGGACTTGACTGCCATGAATTACATACGTTGACAAGGCGATAGATTCGACTCAAAAGCCAGATGGCCTTGCGCAGAGTGGGATACCACCCATTGGGAGTATCTTTGGGATTGAAATCCCACTTGGTGTCTTGGTCCGCGGAATCATCGTCGGCATCTCTCGGTGTATTGCGTAGGTTATCGACAGCGCTTGCTTTGCGGCCTGAAGTTTTCCCATTTGTCACCGATAATGAGATCTGTCTGCTAAGAGCTGGATAATCGAGATCGCCCGGGCGTGGCTTGTACCGCTCAATCTCATCGCGAAGGAAGGCTTGGGCACGGAATACTAGGCGAGTCTGAACATCCTCGAGAGCTGGTTGAATAAGAATGGAGAAGTCCAGATTAGTCACATCCGTATTCTCCGTGTCTTCATCAGGATCTGAAAAATATCTGGTCTGTAACAGGGTGCAGAGTTGACAGAGCTTGATTATTTTGTCTTCATGGATGATCCTCGGCCGTAGGTAGTCATAGAGTGGCTCGCATATCGTCTCGAGAAAATCGTATAGGCCTTCCTGGCCATGGAACCATTCGCCCCAGAGGTCATATTCGTCTAGACAAATACCGCGGATGTAGCTGATGCTCGCACGAGCAAACGCCACCAAATCTTTTGATGTACTAGGCGCTTGTGAGATATCATTGAGCTTCTTGCGGACCAGTGGGACAATCAATCTTCCGCGGGTGGCAGAGAAATTCGCATGAAGCTCATTCAGAAGGCTTTTGTATTCGGCTTCTGTCCCTTGCTCAGGGTCCACCGGAGGAACTGCTCTCTTGTGAATCTCAAGACCTATTTGTTTTAATTCCGGCGCGCCAACTCTGAATTTGGCGTACAACAAGGCTGACATAGTTGTGTCATTAAGCTGTCGATCGGCAATCCGTTTAGAGACGCTGTTGTATATGTCACGCAGCGAAGAAACGAAATGACCCCGAATCAAGGTCAGAGCGCGAGTCATGAGAAGCCTGTATCTCGACCGGTAAACTTCGGCTTCCTTCTGCTCGACCTGGACAATCTTCTGTTAGCCCCCAGAACTCTCGAACAGGACCAGGCTACTCACATGTGTCTCCATATAATCTAGACATTCGTCCAATCGCCTCAGCATGTCCGAGAACTCCTTCCCTCGGACAGTACTTCCGGCACCTGGGGCATTGAGCCGTCTTGAAGCGGGGCCCAGCAGGTCGTAGTATTGGAGGTTATCCTGAATACTGTCTGCGAGCTCGGTATACTTGTTCTGCACAGACAGCAAGCCCTCACATTGTTTCTGGAAGTTCGATGTCTGTGATTCTACCGCCTGGAAGGACTCGGATAGGGTGCTGAGTAGGTCAAGCGTGGAGGAGGTATCGATCAAAAGTGCATCCAGATGAGCTTTCGACATCTGGAGTTCGTCGAGATAGGACCTATTTAACACAGAGCAGATCAGATACCAGACAATCTTGAAATTAAGTGAGGCGACGGTCCGCCGATATGTGCATACTGATATTCATCGTAGCTAGCATCCAATAGCCCATCTTCAACGTCATGGTACCACTGAATAAAGTCAAATTCATCGTGTACATTGTCAATCAAGTCTGAGCTTCTCCGAGTCTCCCCTGGCTCTACGGAGTCTTCGCTGGCATGTGAATCCGCTTTCAATTGCAGCGGCACATCTGGCGGATTTGTTTGCTCTTTTGCCCGCTGCTGCGGACTGGATTGTTGGCGCATTGTCGAACGTTGCCGCAACTGACGATCAACCGGCTGTTGGATACTAGAATCAGTTTCGCGGTGACACCCAACCTCAGGAAATCATTGGTTCATTCAGAACATGTATCGCAGCCATGAAATCCCCCTGGAGCAGGGCACTCGCTTCTAGCCTTCTCGCGAAACAGTCCATCGTGGCTGCTCAGGGACATATTCTGCCGCCTTCTTCCGCTTTGCGTAACTCTGACAAGCTCCATGGAACGCGGGGAAGCTTCGTGTGGTTTTCATCATCGACCTTCGAGGCTGCAGGGAACCTCTCAGACGTGGGCTCGAATGGGCTACTTGAACTGATATCATGATTTATTACAGAGCTAGACCTCCCTCGGTCAGCAGTGTTAGGCTGACGTCGCGTTTTGTGAGAACAAGACAACCTTTCGTGGCAGGACGGAGAGCCTATTCAAATCCTACTCCCGCAAGCTCTGGACAACCTGGACCGTCTTCCAAATGGCCGATATACTCGCTTGGATTGACCGGAGCCGCTGCCGTTGCCTATGGAGGTTATAAATATGCAGTGGAGCCGGGCAGTCAGGTTGAGACACCGACCGACAGCGCTGGACCTGCAGGCTTTAAGAACAGCCCGGAAGATATGAGCTCTTTGTACGTGCAGGAAAAGAAGAGTTTGAAAAGTCCAGGCGTCTATCTATGGGGCTCGAATAGCCACCGTGTCGTCGATCCAGAGTCAAAAGAAGCTATTGTGAAGACGCCGCGCGAGCTGTCGTATTTCAACGACCAAGTGCTTAGGGACCTGAAGATTAGTGACAAATCTGGCGCAGCGATCACAGAGAAAGGCGACCTGGTGCAATGGGGCAAAGGGTTTTCGGAGAAGGACTTCAAGCCCACCAAGACCTTGTGTGGAAAGGATCTTATCTCCCTAACCATGTCTGATGACCGGATTATCGCTCTGTCGTCTAACGGATCCGTCTACTCGTTGCCGGTAACGAAGAATGACCAGCAGTCGGGGCAGAGGCTTCGCGAAGGCTCGTGGGTTCCTTTTCGGTCTGGGAGAGCCGACGTGAGTTACCGACCACTCGAGCCGGCTTTGAAATTGGGTGAAAAGGTCACTGCGATAAGTGGCGGCTTAGAGCACGTGTTGCTGCTGACCAACTATGGCCGAGTTTTTTCCGCCGCTGCAGCTTCAGAGAGCTTCCCATCTCATGGTCAGCTGGGTATCCCTGGCCTCACATGGGCTAACCGGCGCAAGGAGCGAGTGGACGCCTGCTACGAGGTCGAGACCCTGAAAGGTCTCAAAGCTACACAAATTGCTACTGGAGATTATCACTCCATGATTCTTACCAGCGACGGCCGCGTTTTTATGTTCGGGGACAATTCGCTTGGACAACTAGGTGTCCGGTTCAATCCCACGCTTCCGTACGAAGACACGCCCTTCTCGTTGCCATTGAGCAGGCTATATCGCGATGGCTCCTTGTCAAAGGTATCAAGCATTGCTGCTGGTGGTGCAAACAGCTTTTTCACCGTGGATGTAAAAGACATCCCGAGCAGTGATGAAAAACATGCCCCCTCCATTCGGGAAACAGCTCGTAACGCCGCGGATACCTGGGCTTGTGGTAGAGGTATCTGGGGTTCCCTTGGCAATGGCAAGTGGACACATATCCAAGACTCTCCTGCAAGAGTCAAGTCTCTGAGCAGTCTTTTCGAGTTTGACGAACGCGCTCGAGTTCTGTCTCCGATCCGTCTGCGCGACATCTCTGTCGGCACAACCCATGTCGCTGCAATTATGGACAACACTTCCCGCGTTGGCAACCGTTCCGATACGTCTCTGGAGAATGCTGGGAGCTGGGGACTTGATATCTTGTGGTGGGGAGGAAATGAGTTTTTTCAACTGGGCACGGGCAAACGCAGCAATCTTTCGAAACCAACTCATATTACTGTGCCTTCAGAGGCTGGGGATAAAGAGAAACATGAAGCCCGTCTGCAAATCATGCCCCGTCACAAGGGCGCAGTAGGCAATCGAACGTTGAAGATGGAACAGCGTGTCGAGTGTGGAAGACACGTATCTGCTATTTATTCCGCCATCTGATTTTTTTTCTTGGTCATGTATTATTATATGATTCCTTGGGCGACTACAGGCTGTCAAAAAAACTGTACAATACTTTGTCTTCAAGCAGAACTTTCACAAATAGGCAATTAACTAACTAACTAGTTAATGAGTATAAATGGATGAGTAATCATATTCGTTTATCGCAGGAAGCAAACGAGTCAAACATGCCATATCGGACTGCGGGTAACGCTTGGACCACTGCTTATCCCAAAATTTCCCTCGCAGGAAGCCGCAAAAAACAGCGCCTGCTTCATCTCTCACTCAGCCTCACACTTGCCATCGGTCGCTATCATGCCTCGCGAGCAGCAGAAGAGAGGGCGCCGAGCGGCCGATAAGGCCAAGAAGGAGCAATCGAAGCGAAAGAGAGATGAGGGTGCCGAGGACCCTGTCGCAAAACGAGTGAAGCCGAGCGCCGAAGAAACCACCGAAGAGGCTGCGGACGAGACTGCCGCCCCCGATTATATTCCATTGACCGTGGGAGATGAAGAGATGGTCGAGGATGGGAACTATGATGGAGCCCCTTCGAATGACATGGTCTTCTTTGGCTTGCTTGACACTGAGGAACAAGAATATTTCTCCCGTGCGAACGAAATGTTGGAATTGAACCAGTTTGCAGACGATGAGGAGCGGAGTTTGTTCATCGATAGTGTCTACCAAGAGGCTAAGGGCAAGGAATTGAAAATTGCTTGCAGCCAAGGATGCTCTCGGTTGATGGAGAAATTGATCTCGCTGTCCAATGTCCGGCAGCTGCGAACGCTCTTTGGCAAGTTCATCGGCCACTTCCAGCACCTTGTTCAACACCGATTCGCAAGTCACTGCTGCGAGACGCTTTTCATTCGCGCTGCACCGGCTGTTGCAGGGAAACCGTCGAAGACAAAAGGAAAGAATTCAAACGAGGATGGAGATGGGGATGGAGAGGAGCCTGAATTGAGTCTAGCGGAAATGTTCCTGACCGTTGTTGAAGAACTAGAAGGAAATTGGGGATATCTCTTGACTGAACGGTTTGCGTCGCATACAATCCGAGTGCTTCTTCTTGTGTTGGCCGGTGAGCCGGTTGATATGTCGTCAGCGGATTCGGTGGTGGCCAGCAAAAAGAAGGAGAGACTCGGAGTTCCTGGTGCAGATGCACAGAATGACAAGGAAGCCGAGAAAAAGAGAGAGGTCCCGGAATCTTTCGAACAGACATTGAAGAGAGTCATGAAAGATATGGTTTCGGGACTCGATGACACTTATTTACGTGCCTTGGCTACCCACCCAGTCGGTAACCCTGTCCTTCAGGTTTTGTTATACCTGGAACTCCGCCATTTCGGAAAAACTAGTTTCAAGGAGTCCAGCTCTATTACGAAAAGACTGATCCCGGATGAGACATTCCAGGAGGGATCCGAAGGAACCAAATTTGCGCAAGGCCTCCTCTATGACCCTGTGGGATCCCGACTGCTAGAGACCATCGTTCGCTGGACCCCAGGGAAACTATTCAAGAGTTTATACAAGAACCTCTTCCGTGACCGCATGGCTTCGCTTGCCCGGAATGTGACCGCTGGCTACGTTGCCATCCGCATCCTCGAACGGCTTGGCAAGGATGACCTTCAGAGTGTCGTGGACGCAGTGGCCCCGGAAATCCCATCTCTTATTGAGCGTTCCAGGCTCGCTGTTCCTCGGGTTCTAGTTGAGCGATGTGCGGTCCGTGGAGTAGACACCGCACCCCTAGCAAAGGCATTCGAGGCTGCCTATGATAAAGATCCCGTCAAAAGGCTCAATCAGATGCTGAGGCTCGTGGCGTCTTCTCAAGACGAGAAACTCGAGTTCCAGCAGGAAAACCAGAAGGAAGGTCAGAACGGTCAAACACCAAATGCAGCTGAGAAATTGCATGGTTCGCTACTTGTTCAGTCTCTTCTCACCGTTCCTGGGCCCCTCAGCGAATTTGTCTTTTCCACTCTATCAGCACAGCCCTCGGAAACAATCATCAGTCTTTCCAAGGACCCTTCTGCCTCGCGAGTCCTGCAGCAAGCATTGACGCAACCTACCTCCTCTACTCAATTCCGCCGGCAATTCACCGTCCAGTTCTGCAGCCATTTGAAGGACCTTGCCCTAGATTCCAGCGGGTCGCATGTGGTCGATGCTCTCTGGACGGCGACTAAAGATTTCTACTTTGTGAAAGAAAGAATGGCTCAAGAGCTGCTCCAGAACGAAATGGCCCTTCGCGACTCCTTCCTCGGCCGAGCAGTGTGGAGGAACTGGTCAATGGATCTCTATAAAAGACGACCAGGAGAGTGGAAATTCAAGGCCAAGGGGCTCGATCAACAGCCCGATGGTCACAGCGGCCAAGGAGAGAAGCCCAAGTCGCGACTCGAGCTTGCGAGAGCCAGGTTTGCTGCGACAGCACCTGTTCCGGCCAATTCCTAGGAGCCTGTTTGAGCTCCCAAAAGTTTTATGCCATTAGCGATGTTGATTCCTTCCTGCTGACATCATTCATGTACATGGGCATTGCCAGGGATTCATAGAGATATCTTGCAGTTACATTTCCATCTATCTGTTCAAAATGCCTGCAGTCTGTCACTCCGTCTGAAATGATCCACAGCCGCATTTCCCAAGGCTGACTAGTAAATTCGTACGTCGAATTTCTTCATGGTATATCTTTTAGACTATTTATTTCATTACCCTGCCATTACCTTTTTTATGCTCCATGACAGATCCTCTCCATAAGGGCATCCCGCGTATCGTATGGGAAAGCTATAAGAGCGATATTTTTAATGAATCACGCCCATTAATTATCGGGTCCCATATTTGTATGATGTCAGAACCAGGGCCGGTATCGCAATGGCCTTGAACTTATTCCCCCTCTCGCAGGACTGAGGGACAACCAGCCTATTTATCTTCTCCCCCCCCCCCC